AGGCATGGCCACGACTTAGTAAGGTGTGGGAATGAGATAATTAAGTCATGGCCACAGCTTAGTAAGGCGTGGGATCTTGTTCCCATGCCTTAATAAGTCATGGCCATGACATAATTATCGTGTTCCCTCGCCTTACTAAGTCATGGCCACGCATTTTTTTTTATTTATACAGGATGTCACTAGTGGGGCTCTGTAGTTTCCTCTTGTGCTGCCTGAGGAGCAGCCTGACTCGGTCAGCTGCATGCGACTCCACCTCAGCCGAGGCTTTGTAGTCAATACAAAACCAAGACACCTGAAAGACTGTAATATTTTCCATATTTTGCTCGGAAGTACAAGTATATGAGAAGCACATATGGGATAAATGACTCAAGAAATTTGACAAAGCTAAAGTTATCTTCTTGTAAAAATGTCCTGTTCTACCTTAAATAGCACAGCAGTTAGAATCAGGCACTTGTACAGGTCCCAGAATGTAACTGCTGCTCCATTTAAGGTGGAACGGAAAATTAGAGCAAAACAGCTGGTGAATAAGGTGCCAATTTGACCCTTTTAGAAATTCAGATGTGAAAAGTCTAGCACTGTTTTAGAGTATTAGAAAGCAATGCTGATTTATCTATATATTGTTCAGTTCTGTACTTTACTGCAGAATAAAAAGCCACTGTAAAACCTAGAACAATAGGTTAAGCATCTAAAATAGTTTTATTATTTCTTTGTGTTGTTTTTTTTTTATGACATATATTACACCAGGCAAACAAATAAGATATAAAGCCGGACAAGCCAGACAAAAATCATGACAACAGACAGACAGTACAAAATACAAACAAATAAAAAGAAAAGCAGACAAGCCAAACATAAAAAGATAATGACAAACAGACAGTAAGCCAAACAAATAAAGTGAAAAAAATGTATTATGTTTAAACATATATGATACAAACACATACACACTCAGCATATTTGTACCAATAATACAATAGACTACTGTAGTATTCTGTACAGAGCCCCACTAGTGACATCCTGTATAAATAAAAATAATGTCTGTCCATGACTTAGTAAGGCATGGGAACAAGATAATTAAGTTATGGCCATGACTTAGTAAGGCATGGGAACAAGATAATTAAGTCATGGCCACGACTTAGTAAGGCATGGGAACGAGATCCTAATGCATGGCCACGACTAAGCAGGGTGTGGAAACAAGATCCTCATTTGTGGCCATGACTTAGTAAGGCATGATCTTGTTCTCACACCTTACTAAGTCATGGCCACAACTTAATTCTCATTCCCACACCTTACTAAGTCATGGCCACGCATTAGGATCTTGTTTCCATGCCTTAGTAAGGCGTAGCCATGCATTATTTTTATTTATATAGGATGTCACCAGCAGGGCTCTTTAAATCTGTGTCAATAAAAACTAGGTAATATTGCTTTGCTGTACAGAAGAAAAGTGGGGAGCCAGTGCACTCAAAGGCCCCCCCACCAACCACACCCCTTCCCCCCGCTCCCTTCATCCCCCCTCCCCCCTCAGCCTGCTTCCCAGCACGGTAAAGCTAAACGTCACACCAGAGCCACTTTTCATAGCAGTGACCGTCAGATCTTATTGAAGAGGCCACTATGCATTAGTGGATTGAGGCTTTAACTAGTTTTATTTAAAAGTATTTGTATACCCTGATACCAAAACCATCAGAAGGGTTCATTTTACCATATACATTTTTTGGCCATACTGAAACACTACTACTTAGCTGAGTACGGTAGTAGCAGCAGAATCATTTCATACTTGTATCAGCAACAAAATTGGTTTTATATTACTGAAAACAGTGATTCCAAACTTGTGAACAGTCAGATATAGTTACACAATTACATTTGACTTTGACAGCAAAATAAAAGTAATAACTCTCAGCTTAACTCTCAGAGCATTTATGCTGATCTGAAACCAGTTTCTGCAGGTTTAGAGTGTGATTTATGGAGTGAGCGCTGGTCCTGTTTCTTTTTAACTGGTAAACTTGCTGTACCTCTCTTGGCTGTGTACATGACCTCGTAAAATAGTGAAGCATTGCGTTACTTGTTCATGTGTACAAAATCCTTAAAATTCTTGCCCTCGCCAAAACACAGCTAAGTGGGAATACCTCAGCACTGTCTCGGGCTTCTTCTGCTGAAAACTCAACCTTCAAATGTTTCCCTCCTCTGAGAGACTTTGAGAACGGAGCAGGAGTGGCCAAAGATTTTAAAGATGTTATATGATGCACGTACAGATGATGCAATCTTTCAGAACAGAGTTGAGGAATAGCTGAATCTGGAGGATCCAAATGCAGATACATCTCACTCTAAATAACTCACCCTGATAACATCCTTCAGCTCTGCCTCTGCTTTAGAAGAGTGTATATATAAGGCCCACCTGTGTCTCTCTGACAGCACTAGAGTCCACCACTGTTTCATCCGCTTTGCTTGGCTGCTTTAAATCTTTCTGCTTAAAGTGTTTGGATAAATGAGAAAATATTTACCGTACACTAAAATCCTTGGGCTCTTAATAAGTATGGCATTCTAGGCTTCACACAGCATGCGTTACTATAACTGACCTTGTTGTGTTTGACGTATGTGCACCCTGTAGAACAGTGATGAAGCCAGGTCAGTGGGCTATTTTTGTGAGGACTTCAGATTCTGGGCATCAGTTTCTGGGAAGTGCTGGCAGAAGGCTGGAAATTAATATTTAAACCTTAGAATACTAAAAGTTATAGTTCTTTTATTATACATCTGATTCATGTTAAATACTGGCTTATATGTAATCTTTAATCTTTTTGTTCACCATGCACAAAACTACAAGTACAAGTGTGCAGTTGTCCAATGTGAATGTAGATAAAAATATGTAAAATGTAAAATACACAAAATAATCTAACACAAGATTAACAGAAGATGTTCAGTGGCTGTTATGTACTGTTAAGGTATTGAAGTAGAGTATGTAGTTATATAATGCATACATATATATTCAACTCACATTCCTCATAGACTTTTCAGCCCCTCCCATAATGCTTTTCATAACCAGTTGTTTTGGTCAAAAGGCAGGTTCTTCTAAAGCTACAGAAACTGATTATTCATAATCATGTTAGTTGTTATTAGCTGCCAAACTTTTTTTTCTTGTTTTTCTTGCCTTTATTATTACGTTATTAAATCTATAAGCTGTCATCTGTCATCATGAGGCATGAAAGGAAACAAACAAACATTAAAACTTTGTCTTTCTTTTGGCCAGTGACAGAAACTATGAAGTTAAACATAACATTAGAGTCACCATCCACTAAGTGCTTGCTGCACACTCTCGAGTACCTTGTGGGTTGACCAATAAGTCTAATTCCCTCAGCCCTGATGTCTGACATTAGGCTGGTGCTGTAAAAAAATTGCTGTAAATTTACAGTATTTATTTTTGTTTAGACACAACACAACTTACAGTAATTTACAGGTAGCAAAGTTGCCAGTAAGGTACTGCAAATGTACAGTAAATAATATTTACTGTGAATATGCTGGCAACTCTGCTACCAGTAAATTACTTTACATTTTATTTACAGATTGATTCAAAGAACTTGCCATCATTCATAATTGGACATCAAACGTTACCTTTTTTCATTCCAAAAAATGTCTCAACAGCAACTTGGCACCAACCAAAATTTTCACCACTTTCTAACTCTTTTAATGTATTTTTGGAGAATCATTTAGTAAACTCAGAACAGCTAGCTTTGCCAAACCAGGGCAGTTTCTGTGTCTGTATCTGTATAGTTGAATAAAACTTCCCTTCCTATCTGTAGCCAATGATGACTTTAGGGAATATACTGACCGGCACTACAAGGAAACCAAGGAAGCATTACAATCAACTATTAAGTATTAAGCAACTATTACACAGACCAAATGTAAAGGAATGTGTGCTGCAAAACAGCACAACCACTGCTGAAAAAACAACTGGTGAAAAAACTTACTAATTTGTATATTTGTATAAACTGGAAAATTAACATTTTATTTATGGGTAGTTACAATATATCACCATTATATTTTTTATTCTTACCAGTACAATTACTAACTTTGTTAGCACTTTATGTTATCATTATTACCAACTAGGTACCACAACAATTACTAAATTATTACTAATTACTAATTATTTATTAACAACGAGAAAACTAGCATCTCATTTTTAGGTTAGTAAACCTTTTTTACCATTATACTACCATGTTGTTACCCTTTTAATACCAATCACTGATCCGTAAAGTGGTACTGTTTTTTCTTTCTGCAAAACAAGACTGTACACATAACTTTTCATCAAATTCAAATCATAAAATATCTCTTCTGATTATAAACATAAACATAGTGTGTATTGATATTTAATTGAATGTTATTCATTTAAAATATGAGTTATGAGTGTGAAGTAACTAAACAAAATGTAAGAAGAGGGATTCTTGTGTATATGCCATGGGAGATCTTTGCATAAATATAACTTGTTGTAATTTGATAGTGAATTTTATATCTTGTTGAGGAAATGTGGACATTTTAGGGGCAATGCATTGAATGTGGCATTCTGTCCTTAAACTAGATTTCAGTGTTTTTGTTGTGTTCCAGTATTCTAAGGTGCAACATTATATTCCCCAGCCTCATCGGTCTGACAGAATTCATGATTCTGCAGTGTTTTCATGTGTTCATTCATACCCAGCATGCATTATGGGAATACATCATACAACCATTGGGATTTTGCATAATGCATGCTGGGTATTGTAGTGAGAGTACAGTGATGAATGGACACATGAAAACACTGCAAAATCATAAATTCTGTCAAACCAGTGAGGCTGAGGTGTCAACTAATCCTGTTGACTGTCTAGCCACTGATCTATAAGCTAATAAATACAAATGCTGCAGCACCACTGTTGGCATGTTTACAACAGATGTAGCGATGGTTAAATTCTTCATCTTAGCCAGAGTGTCTCTTCTAGCCTTCTACTATTTTTCAGATGTTTGTCCTTTTCATTTGTATCCAGGTGCCACCTATACTGCTGGACAAACAGTTCTCAGACTTCACCCCTGACATCACCCCAATCATCCTCGCTGCCCACACCAACAACTATGAGATCATTAAGATGCTTGTGCAGAAAGGTGTGTCAGTCCCTCAGCCCCATGAGGTGCGCTGTAACTGCATGGAGTGTGTGTCCAGCTCAGATGTGGACAGTTTGCGCCACTCTCGCTCCCGCCTCAACATCTACAAGGCTCTGGCCAGCCCATCGCTCATCGCACTGTCCAGTGAGGATCCCTTCCTGACTGCCTTCCAGCTGAGCTGGGAGCTGCAGGAGCTCAGTAAGGTGGAGAATGAGTTTAAGACAGAGTATGAGGAGCTGTCCTGCCAATGCAAGTGTTTTGCCAAAGACCTTCTGGACCAAACACGTTCTTCCAGAGAACTGGAACTCATCCTCAACTTCCGTGATGACCTCAGCCTCCTACAGGATGAGTCCAATAATGAGCTGGCCCGCCTCAAACTGGCCATAAAGTATCGCCAGAAGGAGGTAAGACTGATATTAAATTTTATTAATGATACCGTTTTTATGGACCATAACTTCTGGTAAAAGTTAATACAGCTAAAAGTTTATGTGGTCAAAATTAGACTGCAGTAGTTAGTTAAACAGTGCTTTACTGACTGATACGATTACCAGTTATTGACTTGAATTGTCAAATAAAATGATCGCTTTTCAATTATTACATAAACCTAAGCTCAAATAAACAGCAGAAACCCATAACATCTTTAAAAATTATAAATATAGCTCAAGGGGCAGGTTCTGGCATGAAACCATTAAAATCCAAAAGAGAGAGTGATTCTTCTCACATCACAGTCTATTCATTATAATTGTAAACAAACTATATAAATATGTGTGCTTTATCAGGATTTTGCCACTACTAACAAATCAGTGAAATATCTGTATTGGCTGTTATTATTGCTCAAACAATAGGTAAGTTATGTTCTAGTTACAAGCCCAGTTCCAAAAAAGTTGGGACAGTATGTGAAAGGCTAAAAAAGACAGAAAGTAGTGATCAGTAAATTCTATTTAACCCTTATGAAATTGAAAATCGCACTAAAAACAGTATTTTATGTTTGACTTTATGAACTTTATTGACTTATGTAAGTTTATGCTCATTCTAATTTTGATGCCAGCAACACGTTCCAAAAAAGTTACATGTGTGAATTTTTTGCCATTCCTCTATTATACAACTCTCTGTGCAACTGTACAGGGCCTTCTTGTCATATTTTAAGCTTAATACTGCAACATACATTTTCAATAAAAGACAGGTTTGGACTGCAGGCTGAAGTGTTAGAATGTGGCCTGGCACTGTCATGTTGAAATAAGCATGGGCGTCCCTGAAAAAGACGTTGTCTAGAAGGCAGCATATGTTGCTCTAAAATATGTATTTGTCTTCCAGCATTAATGGTGCCTTCACCAATGTGCAGCTTAGCCACTAATCTCACCCCCGCACCATGACAGATCCTGCAAATGCTTGTTGAGGAATGTTAAAAATTTTTTTTCTTTATGCACTTTTTGGCAAAGTGGCAGCCTTGACCCATCCTCATTACCTGTTTAAGATGTTTTTCTTAGTCTTTAAACTGCTCCCCTCCCAACTTTTTGGAACATGTTGCAGGCATCAGTTTTAGAATGAGCATATGTTCACAAAAAACAATTAAGTTGAGGGGCTTAGAGGGTGTGGCCATGCAAAGTGGCTCTCAGGAAGCGCCACACTCCTGGCATAAAAAGAGACATTGGTTGATGGTGTGTTGTTATTAGGGTAGTTAGCTTATTTGTAGTAACTGTGACCAAGGAGGGTGGGTTACAGTGTGTTAGAAGTGTCTACCCTCTTCGGATATCGTATCCTCCCATGTTACCCCCTCCCTGTGTTTTGTGTTGGGGTAAAAACTTCTGTCTAAGTGTCTAAGAAAATTGGTATTTCTCAATTTCTGACACCACTCAAATGTAGCATTATAGAGAAAACATCAAATTGTGCAAAGCGAGGTAGTCCACAACAAAGAACACAAAAACTGGTTGAAGCACTATGAATGTACTGTATGTTTTCCTAATCAATGGCAATCCAAAAAGCCTAAGTGCAAAGCAGGACAATTCAACCCACAGAACTTTATAATGGTAATATTTCATGGCCATTTTGACTTGAAATTAAATAAGTGAAAGGAGCGTCTATGACATTTGCACAGTACTGTACCATAAGTGGTTCCCTTTCGATTCATAATAGAACCTCATACAGTCATGAGTATGAGAGTGTATATGCAGTATTTGTCTCTAATCTAAAGAGAGGCAGTCGGTCCAGTATGTGTCTAATTACACATGGTTTGTTCTAGAGTGCTCCTCCAGAGGCAGAATCTCTAGCTGCTTGAAACAGCTATAACGCATTCATTTGTGCACTGCAGAGCAAATACAGGTCATTTTTTACTTCACCAATAAGGTCCTCAGTAGATTGCAGAGCTCATAATGAATGCATGATAAACAGTTACTTCAGCCACTCCCTCTGACTTATTCCTGTGTTGGTGGAAGTTGCCAGTTTCATGCAGGTTGGTGTGAAAACTTTTCAGGACTATTTGTTCTTTCTTTGCATTTCAGATTTGGAGGCATTCTCTCTTTTTTCAAGTTTTGCTTGCTGATTCAAATGTGTACAGCATTTGCACTTGAAAACAACTACATTACATCAACATAATTAGTGTCATAAATAACTGAAAGACAAATCTGTGTTTATGTAATATAAATAAATATAATAAAAACATTCTATTCTAGTGGAAATTAATTTGAATCAAGTAAATGAAATGCATCACTTGTATCAGTGTGCAATAAATACAGAGACTACAGTGAAGTGATGAAGAATGAAGTCTTCCCTATCAGTCCTCTGTAATGTAGGCAGAAGCTAATGTGCTAATTGAGGCTATATTAAGCACTAAACGTATTAGATCTGTGATGTGCCAGTATCTGCTGTGCGCTATGAAAGATGTTTAGTGGAATTTTTCTTAGGAAAGTGTGAATGTAAATAAACCAGAGAGATCCTTTTAAGTGGGCTTGTTTGTGTGAAACATGTTGTACACTTATTATTTGTCTAACAACTAGTGAGTGTATCTTCAGAAGAGTGTAGCAGCATAAACAAATATAAAGTATAATATGAAGGGATGGCCTACACTCTTAAAAGGAGCCAAAAAGGCTTCTTTGCACAATGCCATAAAAGAACCACTTTAAATGGATGGTTCCTTGGAGACTGACTTTTGTATGAGATACATGAGTATAAATAATGTTTTTCAAGTTTTAGGTTCTCTACACCCTTAAAAAAGATGGTTCATTGATTCTTCAGTAAAGACAATGGTTCTATATAGAACTATGAACACTCAAAGAACCATTTGCATGCTTAAACTGTTCTTTGCATGGTAAAGTAGTTCTTGAGATTGATGGAGAATGTGTTTTGTATGATTCTATATAGAACCTTTTTGAAAAGGCTTCTCTATCGCACCAAAAAGGGTTCTTCTGTTGTTACAAGCTTCATACTGTAACGATAGAAGAACCCTGTTTGGTTGTTTCACAATGCAGAGAACCCTTTAAGCATGCATATGGTTTTTGGAGTGTTCATGGGTCTGAATAGAATCACTGTCTTTACTAGAGAAACCTTGAAGAATCATCTTTTTTAAGAGTGTACTTAATGTAAAGGTTCTATGAAGAACCATTAAAAGGTTCTTTACTCAGTCAGTCGTTTACAGAAACAGTTCTTTAGGGAACCAAAACAGGTTCTTTATGTTATTGCTTAAAGAACCTTTTTTAGTGTAAGCCTACAGCCAAATGCTGGTTGCCACCCAGAAGCTTTAGATGCCCCCTTTAGAGTATAGATTGCTATTGAACTTCAATTAAAAACTGACTGAATGTGGCTACAAGTTTGAAACACAACAAAATATCAGCGAATTCGTTTAAAAGAGAGAGAAAGAAAAGTCTTGCCACCTGGAACATAACAACTCTGACTCAGCTGGTTCTGTCTGAAGTGGACATGGCCATTCATTTTGTTATACAATGTACAATTGTGACGTCAAAGCCGATATTTCACTGCTTAGATGCTTTCATACTAGCACAGCTCTTGGTACTGTAATTGTGATCAGCATGATGTCTACACCCAGAATGTTCTTGCAAACGATAAAATCCCCAGTATCACTTTCATTGACTTGTAACTGTGTTGCATGGCGCTTGTTATAACACTTCTCTGCTCCTACGTGATAATTAGATTCTGAGATTAGATGCTCTAATGACATTTGCTTCCAGTGAAAGAGATTGTGTGACAGAGACGATTAGTCACATAACCCTAGTGATTTAGCTGACTTTTTTCTCAATAGGGGCTGCTATTAGATTATGAAGAGTTAAATTTTTTAGATTTAATCAGTACCAAGGCACTCGTGACTCATGTATATGCATTCATTCCATCTGCTGTATTTTGTCCTTTTCAACTTCGCTCTGCACTGCTGGATCCAGAAGTCCTCTAGTCACTCCTCAAGCATGCACATGATGTTCCAGAGAGGATTTAGAAGTTATATTTAAAAAGCAATTTTGGTCAATGTCTACTTATCCATTCATTACGGAATGTAAAGGGCGGCTGTTGCTTCCCAATGGTGTAAAAGGGCAAATAAAAAAATTCAAATGATGAAAACTGAAATAAAAGTAGTTAACAAAGAGTTTGACAAGACAGCAACCAGTGACGAACCGTAATTATTAGAGCCAGGCCTTCAGTTCAGCCCATTTATATAAAAACACATCTTTGATAATGCTTTGAAATTTCTGCTAGCACCTAGTCTAATAGTATGTTAGCTCTAAACTAACACTGAACATGGATATTTTTGGCAATTCTAGATTAACCAAGAACATTTGAAGCTCATGAAAGACACGGTATACACTTAATCTGAATATTGCCACAGGCAGAAACATATTTTACCTCATATATAGAAGTTGTACAGTGATTCTTCCAGTAAAGAACCCTAGAGCTGCAACTGCTGTTTTCCATTCCTAACAACTAACTGAAACCTGGTTAGACTACCACATGTTTTGCTGTAAATGACATATCTAGGACTTCCAGAAAGCTTAAAATGACATTTTATGTCATAAATTTAGTCGCATTGTAAATCACAACATGATTGGTTAATCCTGCAGCCAGTTTTTAATTATGTTGGTAGTTAATCTCACATGTAAGGCCTTCAGTTCAGCTTCTGAATTCTTAGTGAATGGGAGAGGTAGCTTGGTTGTATCAACCTAAATATCATGGGGAAAATTCCTGACTGGACAATTTTTCGGTTGGGCTGGTGTTTCAAGATTTAAGCCCTTTGTGTCCAACCAAACCTTTACAATGAAATGAAGAGTATTACTACAATACTTGAAGCATTTAAATACAACAAGCATGATGATTATATTAAATGAAAGTTTACTAACCATAACAGACATGTAATAGTCAGTTCCCAGAAATCATTAGCCCTTCTCTGAAAGCCCTGAGGTTCCCC